TAAATAAATCTTAAAAAAAAAAAGTCCAATGGGAAACTTGGTCATTCCTTAGCTGAGATTAGAATGTGTCCTTGTATTTTATTGATAAATCTTTTGATAAAGTGAGAAAAATATTTTAAATGAGATGAATAGATTTTATTTTCTTTTATTAACTTGTTGATTCAGTTAAAATGGTATTCACTTTTAAATACCAGAAAATCCCAACAGTAAACAACTGGGAGAAGTCATTTTCTCACAAGTTGGCTTTTGTCCTCCTGCCGCCTCACCATATGGACAAAGGTATAAAAAGACAAAGGGATATATTAATATGTTGTCTGTGATAGGTGGTTCTTCCAAGATTTAGTTCTTAAAGTAATCAGACTTGTCAGTCTTATAGGCCAAAATTATGTCATGTGGCCCCTTTCAGCAAGAAAATGGCTAGAGATGGTGTGGTGTCTTTTATCTTGTTCTACCTTACTGTCTTTTAGCATGATTATATAAGTGCCTAATACTGTGCTAATAATGCATTGTGTTTTTTAGATTTACATTGGTGCAGAAGCATACAGTGGAATTTAACCAAGTGGCAATGGCTAATTCAGATGGATCCGAAGCTATGTTGAACAGAGTGATGACAAAAGATAATATTGGTGTTGCTGTGGTATTAGAGGTCCACAAAGAACTTTTTGGAGCAGGTGAATACAGTTTAAAGTATTCTCACTAAAAATAAATAACAACCCACATTTTCCCATCTCAAATTAAGCACAAAGACACTTGCTGCTATTTATATATTTGTAGTTTTCTTCTGAAGAAAGTTAAGGGAAGTGGTCAGGAAATACACTATTTGTATTAAGTATCATGTATTTTTTGAGCTGTTACTTACCAAGTCATCTATAGCAAGTAAAGTCTTTAATATGCCATTAATTCCAAAAGGTTATTTTAAATAAGAAATGCTTTAGTTAGGCAGAGTTTGGATATTATGATGAAGTGGTTCTCTTTTTAGCCTTATTTTTAGCTTCTTGATGTGAAATCTTTTGTCTTTAAGGTTAAGTACTTGGCACGTTTTCTCCAATTTCTTTGTTATATCTCAGTCATTGTCAAGGTAGGAGTGGGAACTTTTTATCTACCTGGTACTTTTCTTTTGCGTTTTTAGATTATTTATAGCTTCTTTCAAAGTCAGAAACTCATTATGTACTTTGCATATTTAGGGCTTTATTTCCTCCTCTCCCCCCTCCTACTGCCTGCCTTTGAGTTGTTTACTTAACTATATTTTAGGCAAGAGCAAGGAAAAGTATAAGACCACATCAGGGCTTTTATTCTTTTTTTCCCTCCTTCTGTACTTACTAGCTGTGGAAGAAAAGACTTCTGTCTTTGTGTATTGACTTGAATTTTCCGACCATATCTGTCAGATCACCTTTCTCACCATTCTTCAATTCATCCATCATCAAAGACAGTCTTTGATAAGAGATTTAAATCATTTTTTTTTTTTAGGCATTCCTTTTTTATCTACCTTTTTGTACTGTCCAGTCTCACTCTTCTTAAAAATTTGGTACTTTTTTCTCCCTTGGTAATATGAAAATTTAATTTCTTCTGGTGTATTGCTCTAGTTTTAATTTACAGAAGAGTGATTATAAATTATATAATAGGTACTCTAACTTTCTGAAATGTATCTGTACTCTTAGAAGAAAAATTTAACATAGAAGGTAGTTTATGGCCTCTTTGAGGGGGGCTCTTTTAACATTTTGTGTAATGAACATTTAATCTATTGTCAAAAGTGACACTAAAACTTCTAGAAAAACAAGGCAACTTAGAGAAGCTTGGCTGTTAAGTTTTTATTTTATAATAAAAGTTGATTTTAAAAAATGACTGTCCACTTATAACAGATAACTTATTTATTTACTCAACACTGAAGATAATTATAGTAGGACAGAAGAAAACTTTCCCAAATAGTAGACTTAGAAAATTAGGTATTTTTTGCTTATACTTTTATGTAGTTTATATTTTAAGTAGAAAAATATGACAGTTACAAAAATATTTCAGTAGAAAAATTAGTTTTTTTTAGATTTTACTATTATCTAATAGTACAATAGTATATAAAATAAAAAGAATTCCCTTATCTCTCAAGGGGTAGCTGTTGTTCATTCCTTTCGGTACTACTAACATATAGAATAGGCATGTATAATTTTATTTAAATGTCATTATACCATATATATTGGTTTTGTGTTTTAAATATTTTGTAGACATCTTTTTCTGTCAATACATGTTATATATAAGTTTTTCAGTTTTTAATATATAATCCTATATGTCATTTTGAGATTTATACACATACACATACATGTTTGTATATATACACACACTTGTCAGAATGATAAAGTGAAAAGAAATTCAATTTTTCTAGTTAAGTATCTCTCATTGTCCAACTAAATCTCAGCACCAAATAGCTTAAGTGACTGGCCCAAGGCATACAAAATAATGAGTCTGGATATAAAACACAAGTATCCAGACTTTGAAAGCACACTACTCCCTACCTCTCATTTAAAAGTTACTTCATTTGAGTGTATCATTTGAATTTATTTCAGTGGCAAATTTACTTTATTTTGTGTTGGTTAATATAGTTTTCTTATCTTTTGTTACTGACCAACCACTGATGTGTCAGGAAATACAAAGTAAATGAATATTAGGAAGTGGGAAGAATTTAAGCAAATTTAGGTAGCTCAAATAACTGAAATCCTATCTCAGTAGGTTATTGTGATATTTAAGACAGATATATTTAAAGTGCTTCCTTATACCAAGAACTGAGCAAGTCAAGGTAGTATAATTAAATGTTGGTTTTAGCATGATATAATTTGTAACTTTAGATGTATAGATCAGGAGTCAGGAAACTTTGCTGTAAAGAGTCAGACATAGGCTGTGGGCTACATCATATGGTTTCTATCATACTTAATTTATTTTTTCCTTTAGAACCTTTAAAAATATAAAACCAGCTTTAGCTCATATAGTCTGTACAAAAACAGGTGGTGGGCCAGATTTAGCCCAAGACTGCTATTTGCTGACCCCAGTCTACAGGGTAATTCCTATCTTTGGATTACCAGAATCTGAACAATTTAGCTTCTAAGAACTACTTTATGAGATAAAAGGAAAGGTACAAGTTAATGGAAGAGAGTAAAGAACTTGCTATGGCTTTGAGGAGAAAATGTTAAGGTAACTGTTTTTTAACACCAAAAAGGTTAACCTTGCCTCTTTTTTTAATGTTTAAATTCAGGTATGAAGCCTATTCATGCTGCAGACAAACAGCTGCTTATAGTGGCAAATGCTCACATGCATTGGGACCCAGAGTATTCTGATGTGAAACTCATCCAGACCATGATGTTCGTCTCAGAGGTTAAAAACATTCTGGAGAAAGCCTCTAGTAGGCCTGGCAGCCCAACTGCAGATCCTAATTCCATCCCGCTGGTGCTATGTGCAGATCTTAACTCATTGCCAGATTCAGGTATTTATATTATCATTTCCTTCCTGCTTTCCATTTTGCTTTTAGGTCTAGTTGAAAGACTGAGTTGCACCTAACTTTAGAGTGGCAAAATTCTCTTCTAAAATAGGGTGTGTGTCAGTAAGATTCTTTTTTTTTTTTTTTTAGTAAAGTAACAGTTTATTTTTTTTATTACAAAGTTTATTTTTACATCATTTTGCACATTTTTTTTTTCCATCTCGATTGTAATCCCCGCGGGTTTCCCATCACCAGATCACCCCTGTGCCACCACCCTAGGAGATTTTTAATATAAGTCTTTACATCCTAACTATACTAGGGATGAAAATGGAGTAATTGAGGAGTTTGGTATAGAAACTATTTCCAAAAGTGTGTGCAGGGTTCAGGGACAAAAAGTAATCAGTGATGCAATATTCTGCCTTTTGGGGAATTACAGCTCCTTTACCTCCCATACATGTAAAGGGAAAGTGGTGGGAGCAGTAACAAGAACTTGGAAAACCTTCTTATGAGGAGAGACCACTAATAGGAGCAATAGCTCTGATCGTGATATGTGACAAATCCTTAGCAACCCAATAAAGAGGGATCCAAGAGAATATACTTTCCTACCTCTGCTCCCAGCCTCTGAACTCCTGCCAGTGCTTCCCAATGAACAAATCCAATTAGAAGCTAGGGATTTGCAACTGATACAAGTGAAGTTCAGCCTCTGAGGCAGAGTGTCAGTAAGAGACAATTTTCAGCACAGATGGCATCTAGTTTAATAACATAACTTTAAGTGAATTCCATAAAATATATTTGAATACTGATATTAGGTGAGAAGAGTGATCAAAATTCTCCCAGGACTCCACATTCTTGTTCCACTAAACTACATCTTAACTGTATTATTTCAGATCTTAAATAAAAAAAAGCTATATTTTGTAGATATTAAATTTCAAATGTAAAATGGTAAAGTATTACTCTTCCCCCACTCATTACCAAGCATGTGCTAAATTCTGTATATATATATATATATATTTTTTTTTTTTTTTCAAAGATTCATCTATCTGTGCACACAGAACTGGGGTACAGGCCAGAGGCTCAGGGGCGGCGAGAGGCCTCACCAGAGACAGAGTGGGGAACAGAACAGGCAGACCGATGAAGCACACTGCTGAGGGGAGCAGCGGGCGGGTCAGGAGAGGTCTGCCACGCCATGTGGTCACCTCCGGGGCAGGCGGGAATCGAACTCATGAGGAAGCGGCTTTAGATTCTCAGTGCTGTGCTTTAACCCGCTGCACCACCAGGGAGGGCCAATTCTGTATATTTTTAATGTTAATTTAAATTGTAAAAATAATCAACAATAAATCTTAAAGTACTCAAATGGCTACATTTGAGATACTCATTAAGGTCACAAAACTAGAACCCATCTCTACCTTTTATCCTTAGCAAATAGATGCAAAAACCATCCTTTCACAAACATTTGACTTCAGCCTTTAGCACCATTTGACATTTGACTTCAGCCTTTAGCACCGTTGGCACCTTTATCAACCATGTCTTTATTATACCTTTTTTGAGTTGAATTGCATTAGTTCCTCTTTATCTCATTTGGTTTGCTTAAGCCAATGAGCTGTCATTTGGTGGCACAGAATAGTGAGCTGATTCTGGAGCCAGACTGTTCACGTTGGATTTTGGTTCTACCATTTATAATTTGTGGAATCTGTGACTGAGTTCCTCTTTTTTCATGAAAGAATGATCATCTTTACCTACCTCATACAGTTGTCTGTGAGATTTAAAGTGTGCAAGCTTTTAGAAAACTGCCCGGCCTATAGTAAATGCTAGGTAAATGATAGCTCCTTTCATAATACTGATACTGTGTTCATCACTTACTCATCTATGTTGCTGTCATTCTTAATCATAAATAGGTGACTAACATTGTTAATCATCATAGAAGGTTTGTGACTTTTCCCCCCACAGAAGGCTTGTAACTTATTCAGTAGAAGCAGTGTATTTTTTATTAATGTTCCTACTCTCTTCAGCTCCTTAACTCATCTAATATTTTTGATAAGCTGGCACATGCCTAGCATGTGATGTTCTTTATAATGTCAGATTGAAAAAAACACTCACTCTCAATCAAAATAAAAAATGATGTTGCTTAGCTGAAATGGACATTGAAGTTTTGAAGATGCAAAACATATTTTTGTGTGCAAATTATTATTATTTTTTTTATTGTTTGTGTGCTGCATTTTACATGTTCTCCCTGATGTTGATTAGCTGCCAAAACATAAAAACCTGAAGAGATGGTTTGCAATAACATTCTTACAACATTTATGGGCAAGACCTTGGTCAATGTCATCGTTAGTCTGAGGCTCTTTCTGGGTGCTCTTGATACCTTGCTCTGAAGTAAGCAAATCCTTTCAGTTTTGTTTGAACTGTATGAAATTTCTGATACTTGATTTTTTTTTTAATAGCAAAGGGCAGTACTATTTACTTTTTCCCAAGGACTTGAAGATCATCTTTTATTTTGATTACCTTTTTTGTGGCATTATCTCCAAATTATGTTGATTGTTTTAGTAAAACTACAGTTCTCATGTATTTTCAGTTTAGCCCCTTAATGCAAGCTGATTGAAGTAAAATTTTGTTGGAAACTTTTTAATTTTTTAAATTGAGTTAATATTGGTTTATAGCATTGTTTGATTTAGAGGTATAGGAGATGGTGTTGTCACATCTCACCCACCACTGAAACACCCACAGTCCTCTACAATAGTCCATTGTGCTTCCTCCCCTCTCAACCCTCTCACCTCTCTCTTTGGTAGCCTCAATTCTACAGTCAAATTTTTAGGATTTCTTACAAAGCCCTTTGTTTTGTTTCTCTGTATTACACATATAAGTGATACCATCCAATGTTAAGTCTTTCTCCTTCTGATTTATGTTGTTATTGTAATCACCTCCCATCCATCCATGTTGTTGCCAATGGAAAGAGTTCATTAAAAAAAAAATGCAGCTGTATATTACTGGATTGTATGCATATACCATATTTCTCAAGCATCCAGGGTGTTGCCAAAGGGAAGAGTTCACTTAAATGCAGCTGAATATTACTGGATTGTGTACATGTACCACATTTCTCATCAACTCAGCTATTTTTGAACACCTATTTGTTTCCATAGTTTGACTATTATAAATAGCTGTGCCAGTTCTGCACTGAACGTGGAAGTGCATACATCCCTTTGAATTAGTGTTTTTATATCCTTTAGGTAGATGTCTAGGAGTAGAATTGCTGGATTAAATGGCAAATACATTTTTAATAATTTGACTAACTTCCATACTGTTATCTATAGGGGCTGGACTAAACTAAATTCCCACTAACAGTGGAGGAGTCTTCTTAAAAAGGCAATTTTGAATCACTCAATCATCTGGCAACATAATTGAGCCATGAAGTCTTATATAAAGTCTAAATGCTATATATTAGTGCTTCCCTTCTTTATTTTACTAGGTGTTGTGGAATATTTAAGCAATGGAGGAGTAGCTGACAACCATAAAGACTTCAAGGAACTAAGGTACAATGAGTGTCTTATGAACTTCAGCTGCAATGGAAAGAATGGAAGCTCAGAAGGGAGAATCACACATGGCTTCCAACTGAAGAGCGCCTATGAAAATAACTTGATGCCTTACACCAATTACACCTTTGATTTCAAAGTGAGTAGCCTCTGGATTGGTGTAGAAGCTATTTCAATTAAGATTTGACAAGAAATGTATTATTAATGCATACTTGTAGAATTTCCAGTAATATTTACATTTTCAGAATACCTTGACTGAGTCAGTAGTATGCATCTATTATATGTCAGGAGGTTTGGTTGATTTTTGTGCTGTTTATTGTTGACTTGAGAATTCTTTTTGAACCTATATTTTTTTCAATTTCAAATAATATTGTTAATAGTAACAACTTTTAAAATGCTTACTATGTGAAAGGTGCATTATTAGAACACTTTTATAGTTATTGAAGTAGTTAATCTTCACTTATCCACACCATTCCAAACATTCAGTCAATATCCAAATAATATGCAACCTTCTATAGCTATGTTCCCTTTGAATAAATTTATATAATACCTGTTCAGAATTTCCCTAGTACTGTCCATTAATATTAATTTTTAAATTTTAGAATTTTGTTTTATGGATGGGTATAGAGACAGTTTTGCTTGGGATCTGTTTTGCTTTCATGCTGTCATACTAATTTTTTTCCTGGGCAAAGGGACACTCCAGCTTAATAATGGAAATGGAAAATACTGTTACAAAATAAGACAAAAATTATAGAGGGCCCACTGCACAAGATCAGTTGTTCTTTAAAAAGATCATAGGTAGGGCTCTCTCTGGTGGCACAGTGGGTTAAAGCACCGCATTATGAAGCTCTCTGAAGCCACTGCAGCATGAGTTAGTTCTATTCCCCTCCAGGGAGTTGACCCATATAGTGTGGCAGACCTCTCCTGACCCGCCTGCTGCTCCCCTCAGCAGTGTACTATTTCAATCTGTCTGTTCTGCTCCCCACTCTGCCTCTGAATTCTCTCACCCACCACACCTCTGGTCTCTACCCCAGTTCTGTAAGCATAAATAAATAAGTCTTTAAAGAAAAAAAAGATCATGGTAAACATCTGGATTTAATGATACATGGTTTATGGTAGATTAAATCCTACCATTGGGACTGTAGTGATAGTCCATCTCTACTAGCACAACCAAAATACCTAAAACAAAATTCCTCAAAAAAATTGTTCAATAATTCTACAACTTACTATTATTTTGGCATGTATAGGTAAAAAGACCAAATCATTTCTACCTCACCTGGACTTTTATAGAAGTTAGTTCTTCCTTCTCCATAAACTTAAAAATTAGAGAAATAAAAATTGGGATAACAATTAATGGCATCTTTCATGATCATTTGAATGTTTTAAAATCCTTTGATGTTTCTTTAAACAATCTTATACATGTTACTAGTTGTAGCAGAAATTGAATATTTACATTATCCAAAGAAATGCTAAAATCATTTCTTGACTGTTTGGAGTTAGAGTAGTAGTGACAGAAAATCGTCCTGGATTAAAGTAGGTTCCTTAATTTGTGGTAAAGTAAGGTAAAAGTATCTAATGTTGAGTAAGGCCTTCCTCCTTTTAAAGAATTTTTTTTTAAAAAAAACTTTTTTTTTTTAAGATTTATTTATTTACGCATACAGAACTGGGGTATAGGCCAGAGGTACAGGGGCGGTGAGAGGATTCACCAGAGAGGGGAAGCAGAACAGGCAGATGGACGAAGTACACTGCTGAGGGGAGCAGCGGGTGGGTCAGGAGAGGTCTGCCACACCACATGGGTCACCTCTGGGATCGAACTCATTCTGAAGTGGCTTTAGCTTCTTAGTGCTGTGCTTTAACCCACTGTGCCACCAGGGAGGGTCCTAAAGAACTATTTTTTAATTTTGGTCTTGGTTATTTCAAAATGAGTAAACTTAGGTAATCATTTCAAAGAATTCACAATATAATAATTCTTTTCATTATCCCATCTTAATTAAAATATTATCTAGAATGCTTATGCATAGTATTTGTAAATATGTATTTCCAGGTTGAAAATATTTCTTGTACTTGGGTTCACATTCTGTTGATGTGGATCAGAAGAAATTTGACTTCACTTTCTTGCATACAAGACTTAGAGCAATAAAAACATACTGCTTTTGAAACTTTCTTATCAGACAACCCAGGTCATCTAGTTTTGAGAGATATAACTGATATATGTGTGTTCCTGCTGGATGTTTTTCTTGAGGTATTGCTTGTTATGGCAAGGAATCCATAATTTTTAATATAACGGGATTTGTGAAAATGCATATCCTAAACTACAAAACAGAACAATTAACTGTATTTAGTGTGGTGCATGTAGCTGGCAAACCTGGAAAAGGTGACTAGGATTAGCAGATCTAAAAATAAGCTTTCCCATGATTTTTCCAGACATGTTCTAATATTTTGATGTGCAGTAATTGAAAACAATGCCACTCATCATTAAAAGAATTAAGCCATATTTTTTTCATTAACCGTGAATCCATAAAAATGTTTTGCTTATTATAGCTGTTAAAGTGTGCAATTTCTATAATGTTTTACTGATCCGTTAGTACAGCATTAACCCAAATAAGCCAATTTTAAAGATACCTATCATACTTTGGTGTTTTAGATTCTCATTTTACTTATTACTTATGCACAAATACAAGACTTTGTTTCTAGTAGAGTACTGTGTTTCCTTATTAATCCATTTTTATTTGATGGAATATCCATTGAAGGTTTGAGCTCTGTTTAACCCACTGTCAAGACTGTAGGTAACAGAAGTATAAGTTACTCAGTTATTTGACTTTTTAAATTATGGAAAGTTCTTTATAAACTTCCGTTTTTGTTTTTTCTTAACATATTTTTATCTTTTCCCCACCTTCCTTACAGGGTGTGATTGACTACATTTTCTATTCCAAGACTCATATGAACGTGCTTGGTGTCCTGGGGCCTTTAGATCCTCAATGGCTGGTTGAGAACAACATCACTGGGTGTCCACACCCTCACATCCCTTCAGACCACTTCTCACTGTTAACACAACTTGAACTCCACCCTCCACTCCTGCCTCTTGTCAATGGTGTTCACTTGCCTAATCGGAGGTAGTGGAGTATTGCCCCGCAAAGACGGGGATATGTTGCTATGGACCTGTACAGTTGTAAATCAAAGTATGTAGGAGTGAAGTATGGCCATCCTTAAGCTGCTTCTTCAGGTTTCTTTCATTATGTGTTTGCTATAAGATTTGTACATTTTTGTGCATATTGGTATCATTTGGCACTAGGGCTAGAACCAAAGTATTATTACTCTCTTCCCAAATTTGTAATTTAGCATGTTTTTAAATTGGACTTTCTGCATATTGTAAATGGAGCTAGCATCCATAGTTGAGAAATCACCAATTGGATGCCCTTCAGCAATGATTTGTTTTTCAAAACAAATACTTTCTTTTGAATGATTGCAAATAAGCCAACCATTTTTGTAAAAGGAAATTTTAAGCTACAAATACAAATTTTTAAACTGGAATGATAACATGCCTCACAAGGAAAACTTCTTAAATTTGTTTTCCATTATAACAAGCTGATTTTTAGCTCCCCGAGTTATTTGCACATTAACTGAGCACTTCAATTTCTAGATTTGTACATGTAAACTATGATATAGCCTCTAGCCATAAGAAAAATTGAGAAATTAAAGATGGTTGCACAATATGCTTTCAAAATCAAATATTTAACAGCACGTGGTATTTGTTAGGCAAACACTGGTATTTTTTTTTTTGTTTCTTTTTTTTTTTTTTGAAGTGGTGAGAAGTCATGTACTTTTGTTCCCCTATTAGTTATAACCTTATTATTAGTATTAATTCTAACTCTGTCTCTCCAGTTTATTTATAAGGAAACAGCTGATAATTTCCACTGCCACACATTTTGAAAATAGAATTTATTTTATTTAGTATACCCACAAAATTAGTGTCCAGGATTTTTTATTTGCACCCACCTTTTTCTGGCCAGTTGCACTGGTAAAACAGATGCTATTTGACCTGTTTCATTTTTGCTTTTATAGACAAATGTTAATTAATTAGGGAATGAAAAGTTCCGATAAAAATTTTAGAAGTGGAAAACTATACACATTTTCATTTATATCCCAAAGTACTAAAATGTTGGTTGGTTTTGGCTTTTTGAAGTGACAATGGAAGGAATTTGGGGGAGAGAGAACAGGGAGTAGTTGAAAACCTTAGATCATTTTTGCTAACTCTAGTTGCCAAATGGCTATTATATGCTTTTAATCTTGTTTCCATTGTCTGTCAGGGTTGAATTAAGAAGCTACTGGTTTATTCCCAATTGTTGATGCTCTTTAGATAAGTTGGAATCCTCTTTTTTTTTTGCCCAGGAGTGGCCAGTTGAAAAATCTATGACTCAAGAGGCAGTGAAAGTAATAATCATTTTCTGGGGGAAAAATTGGTTGGCTACTTGATGTTAATTATGGCACAGTAACAGGAAAAGGTTGTGTCTGTGTTTTTAAGTTTTTCTTTATTCTGCTTTTTTGCTGCTATAAGAGTTTTCTGAAATTTATATTTTAAACTTTTCATGCACTTTACTGTTTCTAGTCTCAAATGTGATATTTTTAATAAACAAGAAATTTTCCATTATGTGAATGAAATTTTAAAAGAAAATAGCCTATATTTGTGTCTCAGTAATATATAAAGTACAGGTCAAATTTAAATTATTTAATTAGTTTTAAATATATACAATTTGTCTCCTCTTTCAATCCTGACATCGTAGGCTGTTTTATTAGTCTTAAATGATGTATTTCTTTTGGTCATTTTATACTAATTTCTTCCATAGTAAATCAGGCTATATAAGATAATATTTCCCCGAAGGGTAATTTTAGTGGGATGAGGGTGGTGGGATGATGTAATGTCATATATGGGATTGCATCAGAAGGGTTCTGTAAAGCCTGAACTCCCTTTTAAAAGTGCCTAGTGGTAGAGGCATTGTTTGTCATCTATTATAATTGGAATGTCATTGTAGTTGAGTGAAGTTGGATGTAAATAAAAGTCTTTTAAAAATGTTAAAGTACCAGAATAAACAGAAAGACAACCCTTAAGATGACAGATTTTCCTCAATGTGCAGGTATCCCTTCTTATATACCTCAGACATTCAACATCTAGCCATGCAAATTGATTACCTGAAACATAGTACTGGAAAGTAGAATAGCATGAAAAACTTAATTTTGTGGACATTACCTTTTTTTGTAATCAGCTACTGTATGTTTTATTTTAAATCTTCTGTTTTGGGTGGGTTTTCTGCTCTGGAGGTATATGCACTAACAAAACATTTTCCTCCTTTCATATACGCATGTTAATTAGCAATGTGAGCAATATTTCCTACCATACTTCACTCCCAATATTTTTTGAGATGTTTGTATAAAATGGAATTTAAAGTTCACTTATGATTGTATATGAACCACAGAGGAGCCCATTTATTAATAAAAAACTTTTTTAATAGTTAAATGTAGAGGGAAAAATAAAAAAAATTGGGAAACATTGTAAACAGCTTAAGTTTATTTTGTGTATGATCGAGGCACTCTGTTGCAGGAAGGTGTGTAATTGGGTTCTCTCTGCTTCCAAATGCACTCTTTCAAACCATTCATTATCCTGTGTATTTTTCATGTGGTTTTAGTACATGTTGGTAGTAACTCTGTTGAAGTAGGTAATTGTGTTAAGGTTTGGGTGGCACACATACTTGGGGCATGGTAACCCAAATTTCTTGTGCACGGTTTCCCTTTAGCCTACTGCCCAAATTCCACACACCCGTCACCCTTTGTTCCCTTTGTAAAAGGAGTGGTATCTGTTTTGAGCTGCCAATTCAGATGATCAGAAATGCTGCTCTCCTCAGTATTGTCTTGTTAAAACGCATGCCATTTGGAATTTTGGCAGTAAAAAGCCAAAAGGAAGAGGTGAATGACATAAGGTCTATATATTCAATGAAAATATTTTTGCTCATATGCTTTCTAGTTCTCAAATAAGTTAATAAAGTTTATGCCATGGGGCTGCTGCTTATTTTATCTGAAGATAGACAATTTGGGCATTTTTATATTGTGATAATGTGCTTTTTTTTTAATGTTAAATATGATTTCTGGTATTTGTCTAAGAACTGGAGCGTTCTTTAAATTTATTAAACAGTGTTGTTTGAGGAAGGGAAACTGCACTGTTGGCCATTACAGCAGTTACACAAGTGCATGTCAAGTCACCCACTCTCTCAGGCATCAGTATCCGCCTCATAGCTTTACACATTTTGATGAGGAATATTGCAGCATCCTCAGGACTGACATCTGAGAAAGGCTCAAATCCACTTACTGCTCCTTGCTTGTTGACTTTGTTTTAAAATATCGTGCCTGGTGTCAACTTTTAAGCAACAGCACTGCCTAAAAGCAAGCAGAGAACAGAATCCCAGCACCATTCTATAGGCAACTTTTTAGAATTCAGATACAGTAAATCTGTTCAAGATTTATGATGTTTTATGTAAAAAAAAAATTTTGTACAACGTAGCTGAATATTTTTGTTTCGTTTCTTTAATGTAAGGCGTGTGAACGTTCATTTGAATATCACATGTTAAAGTCAGGTATGGCACAATGGGTTCTGAGACCAGCTTCCCCCCCCCTCCCATTTGCCTTGTTCCAAGCGCTTTCTTTTCAAATTACTTTTCTGATATCCATAGGCAAATATTTAGTTTTACTAATAAGCATCCTGTGTGAATGTATTAAGGAAGCCACTGTTTTTCAGTGTTGTAGTTTGCAGAAATATAAAGCTTCATTTCTTATTTGTCCCCATCCTTTGGTATTTTCAAGCTATATATTGCTGATGAGCAAGAAAGTTGAAAGATTATCTGAGGCTCATATCACTTGATTCTATACTGAATTATGTTAGAATTGGAGATGTGGCACTAATTAAGTGGGAACATGGAACAAACATAGTGTGTTCTATTTGAATATTGTTATCTCCTAAGTGCATTTCATTCAGTGGATGAAAATTGTATTTACATTTCCAATTCCAAGATTTTCTAAAAATCACTAGTGTCATCTATACTTTCAAATTAAAAGCAAGGAGTAAAGAAAGCACAAGAAAAAAAAATAGGTTAAATCTATAAATGTGTTGTTCTTAGAACCAGAGGTATATGGTTCATTATTCTAACACAAGGCTAGATTGTGCCCCAGTACTTGTTTCTAGGGTCTTATATCCAAATTTTCTGAGGAACTTTGATAGTTCTGTAAAATATACTGATATTGGTCATGGGATGTATCATAAGTTTTTGATACACTTGGCAGCCAGTAATAATAGTTATTTTATAGCAAGCAAGGGACTTTTATGGCATGTCTTCAAAACAGCATACATGTATTTTAAGAGAAATATAAACTCTCACTTTTGTTATATACTTTCTCTCCCACGTCACCTTTCCTTTAAAAAAAAATCTAATGTGTATTTGATTTGTTTTACCCCTTTCCTTTTAAATTGTATCATATTTATCAGAACTCTGTGAACTCTGGGTAGACAAACCAGGGATTAGAATATTTTTTGAAGCCAGAAGCTTCAAGTAAAGTTTTGAATTTGTAGACAGGTAAGAACTTTGATATTTATGGTTGCATTGGATAATCTTGATTTTTTAATGACATCATCACCAAATTGTAATTCAAACATAAGCAAATCTTTAACCTAGTTTAAAAGATTTTGTGACCTATTTTAAGAACAGGATGCCAAGAACACTTTTCATTTACAGAATTATAAGCAAATCTTTATTGTGTAAGGTCACTTAAAACTTAGAAAGTCTCTATACCATTTCTGCAGGGTTTTCTAAATAAAAACCACAAAATATAGGAAAAATTCTTTTCAGGAAGGGGGTGAGAAAAAACATGCCTGTTTCCTGTTTTAGCCAAATTCCACCTTTATGTAAATTTCTGTTAAATTTGAAGTCCACAACAAGAAATGAGGAGATACCAGGAAAAACAAGCTTTATTAATCTAATTAGTATTTTTTCTTTGGTTAGACTTCAGTTATTTTTAGAACCAAAAAAAAAAAAACAAGCATGTTGAGGTTTTATTCAACAAACATTATGACATTGGTAATGGAGTGTTTTAAAGTAAAATATATTTCACTTTCAAAGCATATGAAATAGTACGTTTCCACCTATTTAATGTTAACTTTTTATAATATTCTGCATAAACTCTAATACTGTACTGCAATTAGAAGTTGTGTCAGAAATCAGTCACATTACAGAGAGGGTATACAAATACCAAGTGATACCACACTTTGGGGCACATTAATGTAGTACATTAAGCTTTCAGAAACTTTCAGAAGACAGTTTTTGCTCCTGCTTGTTTTTTTATTATAATTTTCCTAAATTTAGATAATTTTCCTGTTGTGAGCCTGTTATTTTTAATTCTAGAGCATAAGATTCGTGGTAGTACCCTGAGAAATGGCCCTTTACTCATTTCCGTCTTGTGTTTATTTCCAATTACTGATGTGTGACTTTTCTTTCAAGCTGTCAATGGTTAGATGCACCACATTTGTTTAATAACTTACACAAATGGCTCAGCATTGACGTGTCAAACAGTGACTTTACTTCTTTCTGAACAGGCTTAGTTTCCTGCTGCTTGTTTCAATCTTGCAGTAAGTATGCAGTAGTCTGGATGTGTTTATTCAGAAACTGTACTGTCGTTTCTCTGTGCTTAACTTGCTAAAAATATATTTCTTTACCTGTGAAATTTCCTGAGCGGTGCTCTGCCAACTTTTGGGGGAGGGAGAGGTTTGGATGGCTGTGTTACTGCACACTGGATCTGGAATTGTTCAGTGTTGTGAGTGGCAATTTTCTTAACACCAGCAGCACTGAGAAGTGCACTATGGGCATTCGTACAGTAGTCCAAATGCAAGCAATTCTTTTGTCTAGAAGAAGCTGAAGAATCGAGCTCTTTGGGGTACTTGGAATATTTTCAGGAGGATGAATGTTTAACTTTGTTTTCTTTTGTTTCTGGAGTGGTGTGTTGCGGAGGGAGATTTTTTTTACTTTAGAGAGTGTATGTTCCTTTTCTCTCTGAAAAGGTCAGGGTGTTGGGCAAATTCACCATGGATTAATTTATATCTTCTATTGTGATTTCTTTGAATCATAAAACAAGTGCCAACTAGTTGTACACGAGCAATCTACTCTTCCATTCAATTTACCATTTGAATAGGGAAAGGGTCATGTATTGTCATTACTTGGCATTAAATTAATAATTCATTGTTTTGCATACATTTGAGTCATTCGTGGCCTATAAAGTGTTTTTGTAGCTAGTTATAATGGTTGAAAAGCAAAGCACATGAGTTTAAAACTAAGATGTTTTGGTAATTTTATTTTCCCTGAGTACTTGGTAGTTTCTACTGATACTATTCTAAAATAGTATAATTCTGTCTTTGATTGTGTATTTACTTTGCTTTTGTCCTGTGAAAAAGCCAAGCACTAAATCAATTTGTTATTGTGTTCTAATAACTGGTTTAAAATCAAATATTTTCCTTTTTTAATTTAATTAGAAAATTTTATGAAGTGCCA